AAGAATAGCTCTAAGGGAAGCATTTGCCAAATTGAGAGACCTGAACGCTTCTGTGTCATTAGCTCTGCTTTTAAGTGATAAAAAAAATCCGGCTATTGGAAATGAGGAATATTTGGGATATATTCAAACATCATTATCTTGTCATTGCCTTTGCTCAATTTCACAACAGAATTCTCTAATTCTGGAGACCACAATAATTGTGTCACTTGTTTCTTAAATATGTTGGATACTGGTCACACTAAAATAACTTTGTAATACATAAGCACTCTTTGGGAAACATTTCCATGTATGAAAAGCAGTAAAAGCCATCCAAAAGGTACAAGAGATTTGTTAAGTCTCATTCAAATCCACTCAAGACCATGGGGGGAGGCTGCAGTAAGGGTCATAAGGCAAAAACCACATTGTGTCTAGGTAGGTTACATGTATGATTTTTAAGTATCTTTAACATACCAGCATCCCAAAGTTCAGCTTCTGTTCAGGTTTACTTAATTTTTCAATTGCCTACGGATTAGGTGAGTGCCATTGAAACATCCTCTTCAAACCCTCTTCAGTGAGAAATTACCGAGAAACTTTTCCTGTAGAGTTCCACAACAGGAAAAAGGATGTTGAACATTATTTTTCTTAGCCAGAAAAGCTACTTTCCTTAATTGGCCAATTTTAATCAAAGTTTTCATGCTGTACTGTAAGATTAATTTAAAATGTATGACTTAACAAATATTAAAATTTCGCTCTTAACATTATATAGTCCTACCAAACTTTGTCCTCATTCCTGACACAACTTCAGGCAAATTTTGTGGTGTGAAACATGTATTTTGTAGCTGTATTTTTATGCCAAATTAGACATGATACAGAAAGAAATATAGCTAGAGTCTGGATCTCTCCCAAAAAACCCTGTATGATATTTCATGGTTTCAAACCCTGACCAGTGTCCTTTCTCTAGTTTCCATTAAAGCATTACTATCACATCTGTAAATTTCAGAAGAGACTCCAAAAATTCCTTAGTTAAGAAAACCATATGCCTTGTCATATTTTGGGGCAATTCAATCCAAGTCAGTCTCGTGGATTAACCTGCTTCTACAGGTAAATAGAAGATTGAGTTCAAATAATCTAAGTTTATTCCATATGTAATTAACATTATTATTATTACTATTTGCAAGACCTCTTTTTATAGAAAAAATTATTTACTCACATTTACTAGCTTTCTTATTATTCTTCACATGCTCCTTTCATCTCAGTTTGGAGCTTGCATTATTAGAAGCAGGATGGACACCATCTAAACCAATAAACACTAATAAAATGCTAATAGTGAAAAACAATAACTGAACTCTCATCTTGCACATGCCAATGTGCATTGCGCTCAGATGGCTACTAGACCTATTACCAGGTATGCAGGTGTCTGTCTTTTTTTAAATTCCATGAAAAAAAACATGTTTCATTTTGTTCAGCTGGGAATCTCTCTTATGGTTTTCATTTTCAGTAAGAAAACACGATTATCTCAGGTCCAATCTAAAAGTGTTTCAGTTTGTCTGCCAAAACTAAGCTCAAAATATTTTACATGCAAATTTGCTATGTTACAACTAAGTGGTATTTACAAAGTCAGCCTTCAGTTACAGTCTTTACTGCACTTCATAGAAACATCACTAACATAAAGGAAAGGTAAATGGCTGAATCTCCTCTGGGGTGTCAAGAAGTCACAACAATTTCTTGCTTGCAATTACCACGCTGCTCTATATGAAGCTAATTTATGATAGCACATGGACCAGTGTGGCCATGTTGCATTGCCTTTCCTGAAAGAATTCATGTTAGAGTAGGATCTTCAAAGGAAAATGAAATTAGGTCAAGAACTGACTCACCTGGGTAGGGGATAATTTTCCAAAAAGAATCTCTTCAGAGTTTCAGAGAGATCTTGGCACTCTCAGCTGCAACTAGCACGGGAACATTTTTAGCAGTTTTATTTTGCTGTTTTTCTAAACTGACCTATGAAACTTTGTGATTCCCTTCAACCATGCCACCGAGTCACTGGTATGCCATGTTTCAGCAGAAGTATGTTGTACAAGCCAAGCTCTTCAGATGCTATTTCCTTCTCCAAGTCATTACATGGATTAACGGATTGAAGCAGTTCTTCGTCTAATAACACAACAGAATCTACTGCAACTTTTAACAGCCATGAAGAAGTTCAAACTGTATTTTTAATTCCCTCTCAGACTAACTGGCAAGGCAAAAGCTCACCCATTAAAGCACCACAAGCACTTTCACAGTCAATGTATAAAAAAAGAACTATTTATTAGACATGCTTTCTGTAGTATGTAGAAACAGCATGGAGAGTGACAAAGCGCCTTTGCATTGCACAAACACTGAAAGAGTGAAAAGAAAATGAAAACAAGGCGCTACACAAAGAAATGATGTGTACAATAGAACAGGCACGTTACTTTTTTTTGTTTTTCTTTTTGTGCTAAAAAAAGAACACAACGCTCATCTTTGTGTAGAGACTACTCATCAAAGCCTGAAAAAAACAGAATGCCAACATCATTATGACTCTTTCCAATTATCAATTCTTTATCCAGACTCACTTTTTCCCAATATTACTTTCTTCAGAAACTGAGTCCTCTCCCAGCAAAAAAATGCTCTTAAGTAGAGACTGTAACAAAGAAATGATTAGACTGAGTCCTATCTAGCTATGACAATTAGAAGTGCCACTAAAACAAAAGTGAAGCACTGAAGCTAAGAATTTTGACAACCAAACCTTCACCAACTTTGAAGCTTTTTGAAGTCCAGCTCTTGTAAATGGCAAAACAACTTACAATAATGTTTCCTAATGTGAAATATAACATTGCCTAGAATTGCTTGGAATGTGCAACAATTAGTGACAAACAGAAAACAGTGCACATCCAGTGCAGTTCAGTTTGGAGTTTTCTTGCCAGAATTGCCATTCACTTAACTAAATTAAACATGCTATTAGTATCATGTCTTATCATTATACTAAAATAAAACCTTGAATAAAATTTGTAACATGACTGACATGTGGCCAAAATACAGTTTGGCCTAAAACCGGCATGCTTTCACATTAGGGTTCTTTGTACTGTGCATTGTAAGATGTTACTACCACAAATATATAAATATGGGAATTTCCCATCGCTAGATACACTTGCAGGATAAAGGCTCATCTGTAAATGTATCAGAAGTACCTTGTAAAATATAAAAATCTTATCAAGACAACAATGTCATAGCATCTCGGGATACATTTGCAGATATAATACAGAAATGAATATGTTACAATTTTAGATGTTTTCTGAAAACATCTACAGACATAACAGTTGTGATTAAAAAAAAAAAGTGTTGACTTAGAAGATAAAATGCAATACAACATTCCTAATATTAATGTTATAATAATGAACTTTTATGCAAGAAAAATATAAGAACTAAAATTTAACTAATGTGAGTTCTGTTACAACACAGATCATTTCACCTTCTTGCTCAGTGAATAAAACACTTCATTTTCACCTCCAAGAATATTTCATGATTTTTAAGGTCTAATTAAAAGAAAAGCCTCTTCCCTGATGGTTTTAGTGGTGCTGCTGAGCAGCTGTTGCAGTTTGAACTGGCATCACCTGAACTTGGTAACGAGAGCTATGCACACTGTTCTGTATGTGGTTAATAAGTGCCTTAACATTTTCTCTTCCTACCAAAAACATCTTCCTTGATGCACCTTGGAATTGTATTTTCCTTTCTCACAGCCAAATCACAGCAGTGACTCACAGTCAGTTTTGATATTGATTACTACAGTCAAGTCTTTTTACCCTTGTGTCACTTCCAATTTATGAGCCCCATTTATAGAGAAATTTTTATCAACTGTATGACCTTGCAGTTCATGGTATGAGATTTCTACCTGTTTCTGTTGCTGTATTTTCAAGGTCATCTAGCTCTCAGTGTTCAACTTTTTGCTCTCCTCGATATTAGCAAATGCCTCCCAAATTTTGTCAGTCTTGTACCTTTCTTGCCTGCTGCTTTCATGACAATATTAAAACAAGATGAGCCAAAAAAACAGTCCCCAAAGAACTCCATTAGTAAACTCTCTCCAGTCTAGAAGTCTCCTTTTCAACACAAAGAAATGTAACCTCTCATTGGTCTAGTTCATCACACCCTAACTTTTCTTCTACTAATCCCCATTTTTCCTAGATTAAGTAATAATTTATTGTATTGCTTATTTTCAGATAAATAGTCTGATGCCTTATTAGAAAGAAACACCAGGCTTGCATGTCACAATGTGCTCTTTGTAAGCTTCTGCTTCATATTATTAAATTTTACAGCAATTTCCCTACATTCATGTTTTTCCTTCTAAGCTCATAATGTTGATAAGACCACAGTTCACCCTGCCCCCACTTTCTTAAACACAGATACCATCCCAGGTATTTAACAGACACTTCTGAAAACGCTGTCCTATATGTACCAAGCCATTTTATCTAAAAACTAAACCACCAATAATATTACAACTAGAACAAGAACATTTCATCTGGCCTTTTTAGAGAAAAAAACTCAGTTATCATGTGGTCTAATAGTTTTAAGCAGTCACAAGTTTCTAAGCAGAGTTACAATCCTGAATAAAATGGTTATTTTAGTGTAATGATGCTTGCTCAGCAATTACTAGCAAATACACATTAGTAAAATATACCCTGTAGAGTTAATAGCCTATGAATGTGCTTGCCTGTGCATGCACTACCTTTATAAAGTCACAGTATCTGTACTGTGTTTTTAAAATACTTCTGCATTCTGTAAGGGTCCATAGCAATAAGATCGATATCTCATGTGTAATTGTTACTGTTCAAACAGATGGACCCACAAGCACATCTAGACCACCTCAGACTTTGAAAGAGATCATTCTTTTGACCCAAAACGTACACCTTAGGCCCATTTGGAGTAGGCAGCAGTCACACATAGCTAGAGTTTCAATCTTACTAGTTTACTTTGTCTTATAAACTGTGCTTCACTAATAATTTCTTCAGGTTTTAGGTTCCATCCTATTCTGACTGTTGTTACGAATTTCATTACAGAGACACTGGGATCCCAGAGACAGCACCCTAGAACAAAGAAAGATCAGCAAAACTTAGAAACCAAATTTCGACTCTATACAGATGCAACTGAAGAAGGCTGTCAGATTTTTTTAAATCAGTTGGAGACTCTTGACAAATGCAGTTTCAATGCCTCTCTTCCTCTGGTGATGATAGTCCATGGCTGGTCGGTATGAACTCACATTTATTTATTACTCAAACTACATCTTATCTGATATACTTTCCTTCTCACTATGCTAGTGCCAAAAGTAACTTCAGAAAAAAAGGTTGTGATCAGAAAGACGGTGGATTTCCCTGGTAGCAATCATGGCTAGAAATAATTCAAAGTGGATATTCCCCCGTGAGATTCTGAAAGAACAGTCTACAAGCAATTTTTCACATGGGAGTCCCATACCAAGGATTAGATTCATCCCTGGTTTAAAGCCAGCAGAGTTTGAACAAGTAGCTGAATTAATGTGTTATGCCTCTGGAGGACTGAATACCAGTTTCATTTCTCTGATACTGCCAAATATTTACAGACTTACCGAAAAGAAGAGCACACAATCTCCTCACATATTTCTCACAGATACACCTTAAAAGAACTTCTCTATAAGCCCCTTCAGCTGAAAATGAAGCCTTCAATGGCAATGAATTATCACTGAACTGCTTCCAGTTGAACTGTAAAAAAAAAAAAAAAAAAAACACACCCATACAAAAAAAAAAACCCAACCCCAGAAAACGTTTCTCAAAGCACAGCAGTAGTAAGAGTGACTTTTGATCAGCCTCTCAGTTGAAAAAGAAACAAAGGCAGAATAAGAAATGATGTAATTTTTAAGACATCCTTGATTCTCACAGAACCAATGTCATCACATAAGGTGACAAAATGGATCTTTCCTGCACATCTGTAAATATGCAGAGAAACTATGAACAACATTCTCGATGCATTTAACAAGCAACAGCAGAGCTGACTTTGGATGAAATATTGCCCTAGATGATTTCAGCCAAGCATTCCAAAGAAGAATTCGTTCAAAACCTATACCCTCCTCAAAGACAAACCACGGACCTGAAGCTTCTGGCATTGAAGTTTACCATTCATATTAATTTAATTTGCAGAGATGTTGGGCTCTTAGAGGCATACATATGAAAACCCAGAACCGAGACTCCCACATTCTGTTAAAAACACCAGAAGAGATAAGGACATTCTACTAATTGAGGAAATATGTGCAACTAGAGCAACAACTAAATCTGACAGATTAAGTAGTAATTCTGGTCCACCAAATCAGAAGCAGTCTTTGATGCTAGTTAGGAAACAGTGATCAGGTCCTTAAAAAAGGAATTAATTAAAAAAAGAAAAAAAGCAGATCTCAACATGGAACAGCTCTAGAAAGTAAATGCCTGTCGGTCTGCAACCCCCCAGTTTCCCTCCCTCTCCAACCCTAGCTTAAATTTACATAGACCGCTGCTCTTGAATGAAATCAGAAATTTTCTGGGCATTTCTGTCTTTCTTTTTAATCAGTAACACCAATTATCTCAGGATGAATGAAAAGTTTTAGGGACATCATTTCATTGATAAGAATTCATATTACCAGACAAATTATTATATGTTCTTATATTGATTCTTAATTTTTTTGTCCACCAAAAGCCAAATATTCTCAGCACTGAAGCATGCCAAAGCCCCTATAATCTAGTTATCAGAATTGAGCCCTGCTTGTTCATGTCTTTTGTTTCCTTGAGCTTTTCACAAAAAATATTTGGTAGAGACTGCTTTCCCTTAAGACTGTTTATTTTCTTTGGTTGTGGTTGTTTTGAACAAAACAGGTGGATGGAATATTAGAAGGTTGGATTTGGAAAATGGCAGCAGCTCTGAAGTCTCAGCACAAACAAACTAACGTGATCATTGCAGACTGGCTTACATTTGCTCACCAGCACTATCCCATTGCTGTACAAAACACACGCTACATAGGACAGGAGATCGCAGACTTTCTGGAATGGCTGGAGGTAAGAGCGCCCAGATTAACAAATGCTTCTCTGGAACAGACCTATTTACCTGTTGTTAGGCTTCTATCACCTCTCTGAAATACTACGGTGGTTAAGGCTGTTCTTTCACTTCTGTTTCTCTAATACATTGCAAATTTTTCTTCCATAAACTTTCATGTAAACTTCATAAAACTTTCATCACGCAAGACAAAAAAACAAGTGGTCTTGTTTATAAAAATATTTTGATCTGTCTTTAGAGGTGAGATAATTTCATGTTACTTCAGCTTTTCAATTAGCGTATGCACAGACAGCAGAGTCCCACAGTTTGAAAGCAGAGAAACATCATTAGCAAGTGGTTAGTTCAGAAAAATGGTTTTATGTTATCTGTGCTTAATGTGTGATTAATATCTGTGGTTAATTATAATGCAGGATTGAAGCATGACATTGTGTCTGATTTTTGCCTCGGTTCCCCAAAGATTACCCTAAAATAATGGCTTGGAGACTCAGAGTGTAAAGGGAGACCTTGTGAGAGGATAGACATGCCTCACAAAGCAGATGACATGGAGACAGTAGTAAGTACAGAGCTAATGCATATAGAGAGCAGCAGCCATGGCTGGATTGAAAAGGCTGCAGGTAAGTCTGCAAGCGATCACTGGTCTCCAGCACTATTTAAGAGAAGGCAGAAAGCAATCACTGGAATGAGATCACTCACACAAACCAGGCATCCTATGCAACTCTTATTTAGCTATCTCTAGTACTAATTTAAGCTACCTAATTTGAAATGGAATTATACTTCTGTACCTCACAATTAGCTTCTGAAAAATTTCAATAAGGTGAGGCTGAACGTGGAAGGGAAATATATGGCAAAGGTGAAAAATTGATAGCAAATACCATTGAAGGGCTAAGCTGCTTTCAACAGGAATGGCAGGGTAGAATAAACTGTCAGATACCATGCCCAGTTAGGGACAGCAGGCATAAAAGAGAAGACAGAAGAGCCAGTCACTATTTTCCATTGTGCCATTACAAGGAACCATAGCTCTTGGTCAAGTACAGTTTAAGTTGCTGGATCCTAAAGTCACATTTTGAAGCTGTTTAATTATTGAATGAATCAAATGGTGGACTTTGATCAGTTCCCAGGAGGACACACCACGTTGTCAACAGTAAAGACAGTCTGTGATTTCTCCATTGTCAGCAAACAAATCGAGCCTTGAATAAATGACTCCCTGCTCAAGCATTGTAGGTAGCTTCTCTTGTACCGTGATATGTTCCAGGATTTAACTATACAATAAATTTTCACAGCATTCAGTTGAGCGTGTTCAAGCAGTAAACCTTCCGTCTGTTGAGAAGCACCCCTCCTGAGTTTAACAGTTAAAAACTGCTCCATTCCAACTCCCATAACTATCTTTCCACTGTGCTTCTGTCGGTTTACAGGCAGGCGAGTATTTGAAATATCCTCAACAGATGTTATAAAAACTGCAGCACTGTGTAACATCTTAATAAAGAATAAAAATAAAGTAAATCTTAGCACTCTTAGTCCAAGAGTTAATAGGGCATGATCAGTAACAATCTGAATAGCATCCATCTCAGTAACATCTGCCAAGAAAATTAGTCAGATCTTGTGATTTCTAAGAGCTGCCTCTCTCAAAAGAAGGTAAGTTTCACTTCATCTTCACAAGAGACAGGTATCAAGACTGCAAAGCCACTCCGCTGGGACAGGCAATATCCACAGTGAAAATAAAACAGACATTTGATTTTCCTGCGAGAAAAATATGCCACATTTTTCTCTGCAAGTCAGAAAAACTTTGAGCCTTGCAGCTCAGGTGAAATGCTTAAGAACTAGATAGTATTGATTAAGTAGAAAGAAGGGTCTGAGGCTGATCTGTTTCAATAGGTTTGTTCCAGATCAGATACCCGGTTTTGTACAAATCAGTCCAAGAAATGTCTTTGCAATTTCTGTGTTGATGGTTTTCCTGATGATAGCACATAAGTAGCAGTGCCCACACGTGTGCTATTTTCCTGCTGCATGAAGAGGAGGCAAGGAACAACATTTAGCTGGCAAAGAAATCTAGTGCACAATCCATGCACCTCATTTGACCTCTATCATCAGCATACATCTTGTGTTGTAATTCATGGCATTCCTAGCCTGCAGTAAGTATTTTACTAGTTTGCTTTTCAAATTTTCTGCATGTAAATCAAGCTGCCACTATCTTCCAGGAATCCATTCAATTTTCAAGAAGCAATGCTCATCTAATTGGGTACAGCCTAGGAGCTCATGTTTCAGGATTTGCTGGAAGTTATATCAGCGGTACAAGCAAGATTGGAAGAATAACAGGTAAGAGACTTACAACTTTAAGAAATGTAACATTCAATGATTTAAGTTACATAGATATTTGACATGTCAGTGTCACATCAATATTTAGCTGTTGAATAGCAAGATTTGCCACAGTTTAGAAGTTTCATCCCATCGGTTTAGAAATTAGATTTAGAAAATTTAATGAAAACACTTTTCAAAATTAAGTATCGTAGTATTTCTAGCTTTGATCTTTCCTACCTCAGTCTAATTTATGACATACAGAATATATAAGTGTGGCAACTACAAACCATCAGCCAAAGACTCAAGCTGCATGTTGCTTGAATGTATCTTGTGTCCATTCCCAGTAACACCTTAAACTAAATGTTAGCCACTAACTTTGGACCTTTGGTCACTATCTTGACCCAAAGCCATTCAAATACACTGTTCTTTATTAGCAATTCATTTTAAAAATAAAATTACATTAAGGAAATTGTCTAATTGTGCTTCAACTTTCAGTTGTGGTACATTGCTCATACAGTGATTTGAAGTAAATTCTCCTGTGGCAAAAATGATAGTCCTGGATTATATTTTACAGAAAGCATATCATTAGAGTACCCCCAACAGATGCTTAAAGTAAATAAAGTTAACCATAACACCTCACCATTTTGACTAGTGGCATTTTGATCCTTCTATAAAGTTTTGTAACTGTACTAATTATAAGTGCAATGAAAACACATTTATAAGGCTATTGACATACTGTATACGGTACCACACCTAATGCACAGTGACAGCTTAACCCCCCCCCCACCCCTCCCCCCCAACCAAAACAGAAGTGCATTTTACACGAGGCCCACATCAGCTATGTTTAAGTTATCACAGAAAATATTTTACTTTAATCTGATTTGGCAGTGAGGCAAATATGCGTGACTATAGTTTCAAGCCCCAATTCTGATCTTGGACTCATTGCCACATACCATAGTTCATTATACAATCACAGAATGGTAGGGGTTGGAAGGGACCTCTGTGGCTCATCTAGTCCAACCCCCCTGCCGAAGCAGCTCTTCTGTCGGCACCTGCATGCCAAGAAGCTGATTTTGTTGTGATATTACACCTGTGTATACACCAAAGGACTCTAGTGCATCAGCGCTGCTTGTTCAAACCACATTAGTACATCAAACCTCCATAATGGATAAGTAAAAAACATTAAAAGGCATTATTTTTTGTAACAACTGTATGCATTCTTCAGCAAAAATTATTCACATTTGTAACAATAAGCTCCAAATATTCATAGTAATAAAAGCTATTAAGAATAAAAGGAAATGTATGCCTTCAGGGCGACTTCGCTACCTGTAGCCTGTATTATTAGTCTTGTCCAGCTAAACCTATACAACTATGTTAGTCCATAGTACCAACTGAAGAATCTCAAATTCAGAAGCTTGTCCTCAGAACTGAAGGAGCTTCAAACCACACAAGCAGTCGTTTTCCACAAATCAGCTGCCAACCAAAAAGAGCACCATACAAAAACTTCTGGCAAACCAAAAATCAGCAAGACTCCTGAAGTGGAATATTCTCTTTCTGAATACTGTAATAATTTGCCTTGAAGCCTTTTAAAGTTGAAAAATTATTATAAACAATATCCAGCAGACATATAGCTCTTTGAAACAAGTGAAGCTTTATAAAGTTTCAGGTCCCAAATGTGGGCTAGAAGTCAACCTTGTTGTGGGACTGGTGTCTTCCAAAGGGCCTCTGAAACTCATGACCTCTAGAGTAGGAAAGAACAAAATTAAGTAAACACCCCTCAAAGTGACAAAGCAGTAGCGAGCATGGTTTGTCTATAACAAACACATCTGTCTCTGGGCCTGTGTCCTTGTGCATGTAGCAGTTACTGTTTATTACACTGCCTGTGTTTACTTTACCTTTTGGTGTAACCACGTACCCTCTGTAGGACAAGTGTTCCTAGCATTGTTTCTATCAGCGAAAGACCTTGTTAAGTACCAGTGCTGTCTGTTTTCAAATATTTATCACCGACTTTTCCCACAACAGTAAAAGAACAGCCCATCTGCACTGTATCACAACCGGATTATTTGCGTTTACTGCAGGCCTTGACCCTGCCGGTCCCTTGTTTGAAGGAATGTCACCAACAGATCGTTTATCTCCAGATGATGCAAACTTTGTAGACGCAATTCATACATTCACTAAGCAGCACATGGGTCTCAGTGTTGGCATCAAGCAGCCTGTGGCTCACTTCGACTTTTATCCCAATGGAGGCACCTTTCAGCCTGGCTGTCACATCATGCACGTGTATAGCCACATTGCACAATACGGAATCACTGGTAAGAACAAGGACACAAAATGTGAAGCAGCATTGCAGCTGCACTGATAGTATCTTGGGGAAATTTGACATATCTCTATGGTCTTAAACAGTATCTAATGGGAATATTATCTCCCACTATATGCAATGAAATTTCTTTTCTAGAAACTGGTTATCTCATTTTTACATGTATTGAGTTCAAACTGCTCTTACTGACTCCAGTAAGGAATCTGGCTGCTTAGCACTTCTGAAAATGAGGCCATGAGCATCCTGCTGTCAAGCACTTCTGAATAATTTCAAAGGTATTTGTTTTAGCGGTAAAGGAAATGAGAAAATTAATTCTAATTAAGCCAGATTCATCTAGTGTGCAATTAATTGGTTCAAATCAAATAAAATACACGGCTGTACTACTCACCTCCTTAGTTCACCTTTTTCCAGCTCCCTGTCCTTCAACTGTGCAGATGATGCTCTCTCTAGGACCTGAATGCCAGTGTTCCAGGCTAAGTTTTACATATAGAAGCTTACTTCCAATGTACCTAAACATAAACGTATAGAGAAACTGATGCAACATACTGAAAAAAGCTAAGGTACAGATGCACAGTGGCAACCAGAACCGTTCACTGAAAAACCCCAGAAGAATACTGTTCACCCAGAATACCACATTGCAAAAACATTTCTCAACTATCACCACACTACCTAAACGTAAGCCTTACTTGTAAGCGGATAATTTATGGAAAATGTGAAACCAAGCATCAGCTAGAAAGCTTATCAGTGAAGACATAAAAACTGTCCATCATGATATATCGCAATTACACAGAAGATAATTACTTCCATAATTTGATGACACTTAAGGAAGAAAAAGATACTTACTTCTCATAAAAGCAGATCTATGTATTTAAAAATGTTTTAATATATTTAATACATTTTTTGCTCTTTTCCCCCAGTAGTAGCTGCAAGCAAAATTCAATTCAATGTGAGGGTTTGTCATTCTAATAGGGACAACATATGACATTACCGCGTAAGCATCCAAAAGACAACAGTGTTGTTGAACTGTTCAGAATGGTACTGCTGTCTTTAACGTGGCACGATCTGAAAAACTGCACATAGCCTCATACTGTATTTCATATCGACCAAAACAGCCAGGACAATGAAATCAAGCTTCAAATTTAGTCTTAAACAGCCAGGCTAGAGAAGTTTAAGCAGCAAATTATTCCATTTCTTTTATCATGTGAGTTCAGCCAAACTATTTTTGGATAATCCTAAAATAAAGCTGCTACAACGTATGATTTCTGAGGCAAATTCATGATGTTTCAGTAGTAAAGGGGGTGGGGGAAAACAATAACATATGTTTATAGTTGGTTACTGTATTCCTCTGCAATTGTAAAGAGGAACAAGTGCATGCAAAATTATGCTGTTTGCACTTTTTCAGGCATCACTCAAACTGTGAAATGTGCCCATGAGAGGTCAGTTCATTTGTTCATCGACTCTCTGCTTCACAACGATAAGCAAAGCACGGCATACTGGTGCAACGACATCAACACTTTCAACAAAGGAATGTGCCTCAGCTGTAGAAAGAACCGGTGCAACACGCTGGGCTACAACATCAGGGAGGAAAGGCTCCCAAAAAGCAGACGACTCTTTTTGAAAACAAGAGCACATATGCCTTTCAAAGGTTTGTGGGAATACCTGTTACAGTCTCCAGATTGACCACGAAGTGTGAGAATGAGCCTAAGCTTTGTGATCCTGTTTACTCATTTACTAAAGCTTATAAATTCTATGGGAATAATCAATTTTCTGAGACAGCTGAGAATCCTGGTAGGCTGTCTTGATGCCCTTTCAGTAAGTTCCCTACTCTTCGTATTTCTGTGGGAAAAAGCACACTGCCTGCCTGCCACAGGCTATCCGTGGGTCCGAGGCCTCCGAGCTGCGCAGCGTCCTGATCTGCAGGACTTCCCTACCGCTGGCCTGCGCGAGTTCACTGTAACGTCTGCGGGCATACGGCCAAGCCAAAACAGCAGCATGATTGTTCTGGAAGGCCCGTGACACGTCCTGTTCCAAGTCTGCCCAAATTTTATCTGCAATTAGTCTACAAGATGACATGTAAATTATTACTTTTCAAACAATGGATAGGTAACAGAATAGCATGGACTTTTACAGGGCACTAAAAGAAAGTGGCTGGTACTCTAGCTTTACTTCCATTAAATTACTTTGTTGAGAGCACACAGTAACAATGTTCTAAGCTGAGAGAGACAATCAACTACCATCAGATAGAGGGGAAGCAGTCTGACAGGGAAATGGGGCCTGTCTGCCCGTCTCCATTACAAAATGGCCTGGGCCTGGCTGTAGGCTGGTTATGACTCAGCCGTCGGAGAGCCCGCGAGGCAGCTGCTGCTGCTGGGCAGACATTCGCCTGCCAGCGGGAAGGTTTACATACCTTCTAAAGCCAGAACCAGCAGGACCGAGTGGGACAAATGGCAGGGACGCACTTCTTCCAAGTGACTTTCGGTGGGGGGACGCTTGGACACGTGGCGTTCACTCCTCGCTACCTCCCTCCCCAGCTATCGTTGGGGCATTTGGCGAGGAACATCGCAGCACAGCCCGGGTAGGGCTGCTGCTCGGAGCCGCAGGCCGGCAAGCGCGGAGGAGACCTGCGAGGGGTACCCACCTCCTCACCCAGCAGCCAGCACCGGTCCTGCAGTCCCCTCAGCCTGGGCAGACCCCTCAGCACCTCTCCTCCACCCGAGCCAGTGCCAGGGCCCTCCCTGCCCCCGGGCTCCCCCAGAACAGCCCCACGGCATGGGGGTCCCTCACCACCCCACCCGCTGCTGGGGCTGGCCCCTTCTGCCTGGCGCTGCCGGAATGGGGGTGCCTCCCTCCTGCTGGAGGGGGTCAGCCTGCCCGTCCTCCGCCCAGCACCTTGGGGCTGGGGAAACACTTCCAATGTCAACAGTGCGTCCCTAGCATAGACACTCTGGGGCTTTCCAGTCACGAGGAGGAATGCTTAAAAATGCTGTTTGCACTACACACCTTGTTTCCCCGCAGTGCCCAGTACTCAACTGCAGTATCACACTGCATTATTTTAAAAAAATGCAAAAATTCAGGTGCTTTTAAAATAATTTTGGAAGTCTTCCACTAATGCAGCTGTGAAGTACACAGTGATGACTCCAGAGGGGTCTGCTCAGCCCTGACTGATACTCAGAGTAGCTGAATCTGCAGGGTCACAGAATCATAGAATCGTTTAGGTTGGAAAAGACCTTTAAGATCGAGTCCAACCATTAACCTAGCACTGCCAAGTCCACCAAATCTCTTTTTACACTTTTCAAATGCCTCAGGAAGCTACCTGAAGTAGATTTAAAGATTGCAGAGGCCGTGTCTAGTTCCTGATGTTATTTTGCCGCCGTACAGTCAGGTCACCATCCAAGCCAGGAAAGCGAATTGCTCTGAGGCCACAGCGTCAGCTACCACCACGCAGGCACAGACACGCGATCCCTGTGTTGCAGGTCTTCTCTGGACATGGAGATCGTTTCAGCTTGTGGTAAAATATCTGGGTCCTATTGGCTTTGATTTAATTTTTAAACATGTTGCATTTTTATGCTTGTAACTGGTTTTGCTTCAAAAAAACAGCCGTAGAGCATGCGCAGATACCGGTGCCCCAGACAATGGTCTCCTTTCACAAAAGCTCCCAAACAAGGCAGCAACTGTGGGAGGGTGTGTACAAAGTCATCTTTGTAACGCTCTTAAAAAAAAATGTTTGAAGATCATGCAAGAAGCCCAAACAGAAGAAATTTGAGAAACTCGGCATCACACTTCACAATCCTCTGCGCTTCACAAAATCCAACATTTCATTTTTCAAGTTAATGGCATTATTTTCTAGACCATATGTTACTCCAGTTCTAACGAAAGGTAGTTGTTACAAAGAAGTTATCATTTATAATAAAGCTGTGATGGGACCCTGACCCGAGTCAGAGTTTTTATATGAACATGCTCACCTCTTTCCTTAAAGTGAGCATCATAACCACAGCAAAAGCCTAGGCTTTATCAGAATGTACACTACAACAATCAGTTTTTAAGTGAAGAGAAAACTCAGAGCAAGACAGGATAGGAACAAAACTGACCTGTAAACAAGCGTGTCTGCCTGTTTTGTCCTCATCAGGTTTGCAGCAAAAGATTAGCCAATTTTTATTCTACTGACACATTTTCAAAAGAAAATACATTGTTCTCTAACATACAGTAACTATGAAACAACAAAGATACAGCTTTTCTAGCATGCCTTCCACTGTAAACACTCAGAACTGCAACAGAAAAAAAAAACTCTATCTGCGCATATACCTGAAAAGATGACTCCCTTAGCAGTATGGTGGAACCATTCTCAGGTGTAGTGAAGCCTGAAGTGGGTGAGGAGAGGAAATGAGGAAAGAGCATCTTTCTACTCAAAAACTAGTGTTCAATAATGTTTACCAGAACAGTTTCCCATGTGTCATTTGACCAGATTGCAAGGATAAATACAACACTCCTAAATCATCAGAATACTCTGTGGACTTTGTTAACAGAAATTACTTAGGGTTTTCTTCCTCAACACCTAAAGCTGTTAGCTTTGTCAAGTAGGTGGCTGGTAGAATCAGACCAAAGAGTTTTGGACATTCAAATCTAGCTGACAATATCTGCGTGCACATGGCCTCTAACTGTAGGTTGGGGTTTTTTTTCCCACCATTTACCAAATATCAAACTGCTTGTAATCAGTACGCTGATGATTTCTTAGGCATTCTTCATTCTGACAGTATTCAATTCGAAGACTTTCTTAATCGCTATTCTTCCAGAGGCCCACCACATCTCAAAGTATTAATGCTGCCTTTCTTATAGTAATGTGCTTGAACAAAGTCATATTGTTAACGGATGCATGTCAAGCACAATGTATCATTATGCATTCAAGGAAAGTTTGTGAGTCATCTGGTTTGCAGGGCAATTTTCTAGCTGATCAGAGAAAAAGCCTGACTACATTGCATGCGGTCTGCAATCTGTATGATGCATCTCCAGCCGTGTCCAGTCATACGGATTTGTCTGCTGATTAGATAGAGGGCTTGCCAGAAATTCTAACAACTAAACTTCAGAAAAGCTGAAATATTTCCCATGGAAGAGTGTTTTATCCTACAAATGACACTCAGCCCAGCTTACCTTTTTTCTCTCTTTTAAATAGAGGAATGGGGCCCCAAACCCTAAGGGATTACACAGCACAGCAACAATCAGAAAAAATGATGATGTTTTAATTGCCACACATTTGTTTAAAAAAATAAAATGCAATCAAGTTTCTGCTCTGAAAGGCAAAATTCTTCTGCCTGAGGAATCTATTGCTTCTTTGACCATCAATTTTGTAACTTTGCAAATTCTTCCTTTCTACAGTCTATCATTATCAGTTCAAGATCCACTTCGTTAATGAAATCCAAGGCAAGCAGATAGACCCAACTTTTACCATCTCTCTGACAGGCACTAAGGAGGATGCTAAAAACCTGCCCATCCCACTGTGAGTACTGATATTACACATCATTGCACAAGCGAGAAGCAAGGTGTCACTTCATAATACCATATCACGTACATAATCATGCTATGAGTGAAATGGTTTAATACTCTTAAGTGAATATGAACTAGGAACCATCCTCTCTCCACCCATACTCCCTAAAACCCACAAACTTTCACAGTGTTCATACAGTTATTGCATGAAAAAGCTCTATTTAAAAAACTTTGTAATCTTGGAAGTTTCCCTGAACATTAAGTATCCTGTCCACTTACGTTCGGTCCATCCCATGGCTAACACAGGGAGGTCTGTTCAACTAAAACACAAATAAATAAGCAGCTGTAATTAAGGTAAAGAATTTTGGATATTTCTCATGAAGGACACTATCTGTATTAACAAAAGCAAAGGCAACAGCGTGGGTCAGCATTTGCTCTAGCAGACAAAAGATGCAACATAGATGCTACTATGGGACACCTTCTCTTTTGCTGTCAGAAACCACTACTGCTTCACCAGTTGTTCAAGCCTCGCCCACTTCCGCTTCTTTTCTAGCATGTTGTCGTATTTCACCACTTTATGCACCTGGAGGAAGGGTACCCTAGAGACAATAATGTTCCCCTCTGGAGAAGGAGGAGGAAACATACTTCTTTCTTTGGTTTCAAAGAGAAGAGAAGCTAATATTTTTCACTTTACTCCATAATAATTAAGACAGCATTACTCTGGGTTTGTTTTCTGCAGAGTTGAAGGCATTAATGGGAATAAAACCTACTCTTTTCTCATCACCCTGGACACTGACATTGGTGAGCTAGTAACAATCAAGTTCAAATGGGAAGGAACTGCAGTTTGGGAAAATATCTGGGACACAGTGCAAACCATAATACCATGGACAAAGGGCACACGTCGACCAGGACTTATAGTGAAGACCATAAGAGTGAAAGCAGGGGAAACACAGCAAAAGTAAGTGTAAAGAAAACACTATTTTTCTGTAATAACACCACAGATGTTTGGCACACAGGCTATCCTAGTTCAAACCCAAGCATCCAAGCCCCAGCACTCAAACCAATGGTGAATTCATTCATGCACAACTTCTGGCTTTCCCCACTCCCCCTCAGATCAGGCTGCATGATTTTTAAGTGACTTAAAAGAATTTCTTTGTTCTCAGCTCAGAAATGAATAGTGAGAAATGTTCTGGCTCACCACTGCCACTAATTGGAGTTTAAGGCACAATAACCTTGAGTAACAAATTTGTTGATACTTGGGAATAGAGGATAGAGAAGGAGTTAGCACACATATCCAAGAAAGAATTTTAACAAATTCTGCAGTGCTATTTTTCTGCTCAGTTAACAACAATAACTAATGACAACTTCTTGTTTTTAGAATGTGATTATCTCACTCCATAAGGACCATATGAAATTTCGAAGAAACAAGGCACTATGTATGATAAATATTGACTCCAACATTAAGGCCATGAAAAATTCAAATTCCTACTTACAAAAAACCCACCAAATCTTAAATATTGACTTTCAATACCTATTTCACAGAGAAACTCAGCATCACCATTCTTGAAAATCCTCATTAGAAGGATCACATGTAGAACTACATAGTCATTTGATTATTCATTGAAGTTAAGGGTTTTACCATAAAATTCCCTTACTTTTCATACAATCACAGAATCATTAAGGTTGGAAAAGACCTCCAAGATCATCAAGTCCAGCCGTCAACCCAACACCACCATTCCTACTAAACCATGTCCCAAAGTGCCACATCTACACATTTTTTAAATACCTTCAGGGATGCGGAGTCAACCAATTCCCTGGGCAGCCTGTTCCAATGCCTGATTGCTCTTTCAGTAAAGATATTTTTCCTAATCTCTAATCTAAACCTCCCCTGATGCAACTTGAGGCTGTTGCCTCTCGTCCTATCGCTAGTTAATTGGGCGAAGAGCCCAACCCCCGCCTCACTACAACCTCCTTTCAGGTAGTTG